CCCCAAAACCCCAAAACCCCAAAACCCCTTAATTGAGTATTTCGATTATATTTAGGAAAATCTAATTAAGTTTAATCTCTGATAATCATTTTTTTAATAATAGATGTTTCTGATCAATTCTTTTATATTAACTCATTCACTAAATCTTTTTTACTATCATGAGCAATGTCTCCAGTTTGATGCTTAAACTTAAAAAATCTTATCATCATTAATTAAGAAAATGCAGTGAAGACCAAACAAAATATCATAAAAACTCTGAATTTTTAAGAATCAGTTAGCAATGAAATAATGATCATAAAAATAGATACACCAATCGAATTAAATAATCTGAATATTGCGAACGCTTCAATACTTTGCTTAAATTCTGAACCCATTATAACCTGCATTTAATTTTAGAGGAATGAGTCCTGAATTCCAAGCAAAAAACTACTGCAATAACTTAAGATTCCAAATTTATAAATCTCATTGCACCAAATTAAGCACGAAAAGCATAAAATATGGATAATTAAACAAATTTTCGAGATTTATTTGTTGCTTTAAAAAACCCTACTATAAAATCCAAATAAAATACTTCCGAGCAATTATCCTATTCCTAGCATTGCTTAGCCATAAGAGGCATATTTAAATTGTTCAAAAAGATTTGAATCTGGAAGTGTATATGTCAGGAAATTTATAAGTCCAGCTTATCTAAATGCTTATGAGAGAGAAGTAGAAAGAGATATACCAAATGTCAATTGCATCTAAGGTTCCTTTATCAAATTAATAATTCCATATGTTTCTTGATTATGATTTGATTCATCTTTCATAGGAATGTTAGTTGAAATGGTTGGCAAAAAGCAAAGCATAAAAGAAGCTATTACTGATAATATTGTGCATATTATAAAGAGGTATTCTTATGGATATTGTCCCAATACTAAGGCATTAAGGATACTTGAGAGAAACATTGCAAAAAATACTATTGTCCAAAATAGACTAGAGTATGTGCCTTTTGTTTGAGGGTTTTAGCTACTGCAATCAGAAACATATTTTCCTTAAGCAACCCATAATAATGATGCCCCGAATCCATTTATCACACTTGCAATGATCACAACTATTACCACTAGGTTATATGAAAGGTAATGCTTCAAGGTTTCATTCTTAAGTGCAACTGTTGTCAAGCTAAAAGCCACCATCAATATAACATAGCACATTGATCCAAATATTAAAGACAATTTTGCTCCTAGATTCCGCACATACTTTGGAGTAATAAATGAGAACATTCCAAACAGGAAATATATCAAAGCTAAGCTATAAAATCCAAGATTATTGAACCCACTTTCTCGAAGAGACTTTGTAGAAATATTTATCACTGCTGCATTTGAAAGGATTAATACGAAAAAGCAGCCTGATAGTGAAAGCACCGCTTTAATGTGAGTATGTTTTTAATTCTCCATTTTAATTTATCTCAACTTTGAATGCCCTGAATTAAATAATACAAACTATGGAACTTAAAATTTAAAAAAGTTAATTAGCAAATTCTATTCTATTAAATGCAAACACTACGGGGTTTTGGGGTTTTGGGG